GGTGCTCCCGCGGCACCCCAGCCAGCCCGGTCGCGGCAGCAACCACCGCTGTTTGGGCCAAACACGCTGAATCACCGAAGCCAGGCGCCGCCGCGGGCAGTGGGGCCTCGGGGCGCCGGCCCAGGCGCCCCACGGCCCAGCAGGGCAGGGATGCCTGGGTCCGCTGCATGCCAGTGACCTTGCACATATGCACGTGTCTATGTGTGTGCATGGGCACGCATGTGTGTGTGCATGGGTGAGTGTGCATCTGTGTATGCATGTGTCTGTGAACACGGGTGCGCATGTATGCAGGCACGCACATGCATCTGGCTGAATGCATGCACATGCATGTGAGTGCATGTGAATGCATGTGAATGCATGCACGTGTCAGCATGTGTGTGCATGCAAGTGCACAGTCACAAGTGTGGGTGCACACGTGTGCATGGACGTGTGTGGCATGTGCATGCATGCGTGCGTGTCCCTAGCTGTGCAAGTGTGTGCCTGCAGGCACACATACACTGGGGTGATTGCATACTTACATGTGTGAACACGTCTGCACAATGTGCACGCCTGTGCACATGGGTGTGCACACGCGTGTGTGCACGCACACCTGAACACACTGGCGTGCGTGTCAGTGTGTGCACGGATGTGCATTTGCACCCACCAGGGAGTGAGGTGTCCCCAAGCAGGGACCGCCCAGGGACACCACATCCACACCCGGGGGGGTGACAGGGACCCCAGGGTGACCACACAGGGACGGCAGCCCCAAGGGAAAAGACCCCTCCAGCATCGTAGAAAACACACCGCAACTGGGCAACTTTATTGGGGGCGAGCGGGGGAAGAGGGTGCCGTGCGCAGGAGCCCCCTGGGGCGCCGGCCCCAGCTCCCGGCCCCCTCACTTCTTCCCCTTCTGCTTCATGTGCACCACGAAGTAGTCGTTGCAGGCGATGGTGAGCCCGGCCACCAGCGAGAAGAAGCTCTGGAAGCCGACCTTGCCGTCGCGGCACTGGTCCAGGTCCTTCATGATTTTATCCAGGGCCATGGGGTCCTTCTGGTTCTGGGGGGACGGAGAGAGCAGGGCGGTTAGGGGGGAGGGGGCCGGGGCCCTCACCCTGGCGTCGGGGCTGCGGCAGGCAGG